AAAGAAAGAAAGAAAGAAAGAAAGAAAGAAAGAAAGAAAGAAAGAAAGAAAGAAAGAAAGATGCAGACAGCATATAGAGGTCTTGCTGAAGTGTGCCCTAGGACATGCATGGTACTCGTTACCCAGCTAGAAGCCAGCTAGATGCTGTCCTGTTAGACTCTTGGGCTCCATCCTTTCTACACTGAGTAATATTACCCATGGGGAGGGGGGAGGCTGCCAGGAGGGACTTTCTGAGCGTGGCTTCTTAAGAAGGGCACTTTTTGACCTTATATTTGTCTTTCCTTTGTCATTCACTCGCCCTCTCCTACCTTGTGGTTTACAGACTTGCTAAGAAAGTTTGCATTTAAGAAAGAGATTTCTGTAAACATTCAGAGGTGATAATGCTATGCAGCTGTTTGAAAAACAAAGACCAAATGTCACTTCTGACTAAGCCGCTATTGTATTCTTTAACAAACAGTACATTATTTTCACCCATATCAAAGCCACTTCATGATATTTGCACGCGCTTGCTGGATTGAGACATCCTTTGTTGGAAAACTCCAAATGGAAGGCTTTATTACTACAAAAGGGAATATTTTCTACCCTTGACCCTGAATTAAATATATTTCTTAGATATTAAAACAAAAGTTTCATCTGTCAACGGAGTCTCCCTTTGTTCAATTGGGAACAAAACTATGCAATTATGCCCAGTCTTTCTTATAAAGTGGGAAACAAAAGGAGAAGGAGTCAGGACAGGATAAAGTAATGGCTTTTATTTGGGCTCCCACACATACACACACCAACAACAACATTAGAAAAATATGTTTAATGTGACTTATACTTGAATTTGAATACTAAGCGCTTGAGTTGTCGGAGCGAATTCACCCACGTGGTTGACTAAAGCAATAAATGGGGACAATCTAGAGAAAGCATTTGTGATGGTCCGATGGTGTTCTAGACTCTGTCATTCATTTGCTGCACTTAGTAGTCAGGAAAATCACTCACCCTCCCCACTGCACTCCACACGGAGTACCAGGAGTACTGGGCTCTCTGACTCAAAACACTGAGTACACCACTCTGTAGCACACCCCCAAACACACACACAGACAGCAGTTTCCTTTACACCCCACTCTCTCTAGTCTGTTTAATCAGCTGTTCCCTACAGGGAGGCTGGTAAGTGGTGCAAAATCTTTGAAGTGCATGGAACCACGGTGCCAGTATCAGGGCTGAGGTGGAGAAATCTCCCCTGGTCTTCCCAGTTAAGCTGCATAGTCATTCTCGAGCCGCCAGAACCAGACCACCCATAATGATTTGTCCTATGTCCCTTTCCAGTTTGGGTTTCAGAATGTTAACTGTTGTTTCTCTCATTTTTCCCCCAGTCCAGTTGAAACTGGTATGCCCCTCTTCAGTGAAAGCCAGGGGCTTCCTCAGGTTGTTCCTGAGCCAGTATGGTGCAGATCTATGGGCCATTGGCCTCAGCTTCTTCATCCAAGATGGTCCCTTCCTGGTTGTGCGCCTTGTCCTGATGATCTATTTCCAAGTGATCAACCATATGCTGGTATTCTTTGCTGTGAAGAATTCGCTGGTCATGGCTCTGCACTTCTACCGGCTTGTGGCTTTGATCCTGGCCACCCGGGCTTCCATGGAAGACCATCCAGAAAGCCCCAAAACGCAGCCCAGTAGCCCAGACCAACCCTCTGAGAGTGGGCCCAGTGAGTGGGAGGACGCCTCCAGGGAGGCTCTGCCTTTGCAAGCTTCGCCTGTCACCTCTGAGGAGTCCTACCCCACACCTTAGCTACCCATTCCCATCATGCAACTGGGAGGCTTGACTCATTTGCTTCTTGTAGACCGGTTCTCATCTTACCTCCCCCAGGAAATGTTTGAGTGCAGCAGTTTCGAAGGAAACAACATGTAAACATGATCTTGAATCAAAGCCAAGGTACTTTTGTTTGTTTGTTTCATCTGAATGGAAAGAACTTTGACAAGTGGCTGTCTCTACAACCTCCTGCGAAGATGGCAGACTTGACACAGCTCGGAGAAACGCTCTGCGTGATTGGTTCTTACTGAGCTGTTACGTCGCAGGCATAGCTGTAGTAGCACACCCGCCAAAGATTTAGCGCTGACATTTACCACCTTCACACCTCACCCTCAAAAACTACCTAGCAAGTGGTTGGTTGGACTGTCACGCTCTCTCATCTGATGTTTTCTGTAATGTCCCTCTGACATTAAAAAAAAAAAAAAGTATATTCAGTGAATGCAGAACAAATGAGAGGGAAATACTTTTAACGTCAACTTGCCATGGGCTGGAAGCTGGGAACTAGTGCCATCAGCTTCCTCAACGCGGAAAACAGCGGTGGTGGTTGTACAGGCCTTTCCCGGAATCTCATTCATCTGGACCAAGATGGCGTTCTGGTATGGTGCCTATGTTCTTGAGAATCACGATGGCTTTGGGCTTGGGTAGCACAAAGTTCCCAGCAAGCCGTTTCGGTTCTACCAACTTCAAAGCGAGGAGATATGAGCAAGACATGCTTTCCTCCCAAACAGTTCACAGGGTCATTGGTATCGGAATGTCGAGTTAGTTATCTTTTCCTGCACTGTCAAGGTACATCCCATGAGGAGGTTCCAGGGAGCGCTGGCAGGCTGCGATGAAGGAGTCTGAAGGCCCTCGGTGTTACCATGTTTCCTGGTGGCTGACAGCAGCTGCTGTAGGAGCAGCAAGAGTAACAGAGATTGCCACAGGTTCCGGGAAATGCCATCACTGGCTGCAGCTTGGTTTCAAGAACAGTTGGTGGAAGGTGGCACCAGCCTCATTCACAGGGCCTCCATCAAATGTCCAGTCACCACATGTCACCCTATTGCCTCCTGGGAATCATGATGGCTTTGGTTCCCCTGCATGAAACAGTCTTCCTCTCGCTTTGCACATCTCTCTGCATTCTGGGTAGAAATGATTCCAAGCCTTTGAAAGAGGCTCTTGCTTTTAATTACATGGTGAAAACTGGACTTGGCAATCTAGCAAACATCTCTAAAACTGCTAGTGTTAGAGTTTAGGGTATCGGTCAGCCCGTGCTAGCATTTCCAGGCCTTCAGTGACGTTTATTCAGGGATCTTCCTAAATTGGATGCAACCATTAGACAATCAGTTGGGACTTTTTTTTTTTTAATCTATGAATTTCTGGTATAGGATGGTATTTATCCAACATGTTTGATAACAACTTTTATAAGCAAATTCTATTTTATACAAAGCCATGACTATCTTCTAGTAATTTCTACTTCTTTTATTCCTTGTGCCTTTCCTTTTAACAATGTTATGGCTGTAAAATGTGCAGGAAGCAAATGGAGAGCATTTAAAAATTTTCATAATAATTGTGTGCAGGTAAAGGTCAAGATTTATTATTTATATAAAGTGAAGAATGTGACAGTTCTTAAAGGTATGTTATTTAAAATTCTTAGCAATGGGACGTGGGAAGATGTCTCATGGTTAAGAGCATGTACTTCTCTTGCAGAGGACTTGAGTTCTTCCCAACACTCTCCAGGGCCTACAACCATTTGTAGTTCCAGCTTTAGGGGATCTTAATACCCTCTTCTGGCCTCTGTGGGCATGGACTGTATTCCTGCACTTGCAGGCAGGCACACACACACACACACACACACACACACAAGCACACACACACACCACAGGTAAAATTAAAAAATAACAAAAACATTTTGAAATAAAATACTCAGCAATGAGAAGAAAAAAAATGCTATTTATCAACTGCCTCAGCCTTCTCTTGTGGTGCTGCCTGCCTTGTGTTGAATACCTTCTCCCGTGAGGTCTACCTGCCTCTCCTTACTGCCTGTTTGCTCCCAGCACTTTTGTGAGTGTGTGCATGCAGAAAAACAAAACAGCAAGCCTCTAAAAACAGAGGATGAAGTAGTGTGACTGTTGTAAGGATATGTTTACGTGCTTTCAAATCTGAGTCTTGGCTTGATTCCATGAAAGACTTTCTAATGCTTAAATAAAATATTTCGTAATTAGCTCTCCTCCTCCTCAGGCCCATCCAAAATCTGGCTTAACTTAGAATGCCAGGAAGTCAGAGAGCACCCAGTACCAGCTTGGTAATTAATGGATGGCCAAAAATAGACACACGGTCTTCAAGGCTTTTCCAGGAAAATCTGCTAAAGAGAGTGTTTAACCTCAATGCCAGTGTTTCCATTTCCTTATGCTGGCTGCTTTGATCCTGGGAAAAACGTCTGTTTGCTTAGTCTAGGTTTTATCTCTGTGAAAAGTTAAAAATGTATTCAGTTAGCTGTATGTTTATAATTATTACTACCATTTTACCCTTTAAAAATTGTGCTTGTATTGTAATGTTTCTAGATATCCAAGCGTTTGTCATAAACTGAACAGAATAGCAGTTATCTCCAAACCATTGGCATTTTGAGACTTGTTTACATTTTATTTGTAGTGAAATAGCTTCCTCACACAGGACAAAGGCTCCACCCTCTGGCCCCAGCCACAGAGCACGCCAAGCCCCAAGCCCCAAGCCCCAAGGACCGGGCTTCCCTTGCAGTTGTGGGAACTGTTGCTGTTTAATTAAAGCTCAGTCAAATATTCTTCCTGAAAGATGCTCTTCCACTCATGAGGAAGCCTGGTGTCCATGTTTACATCACGCTGTGTGGGCCTCAGGATCCTCCTTAGGCCTTATACATACCGAACGAGTCTTAAGAGTCTTAAACACCACAACACTGCGCTGAAGACCAACATACCGCTCTGTCCTTGATTATTCTCCAAAGTTTTACTGCTGTTATAAAGGGTGGAATGTGGAGGCTTGAACTGGTCGATAACATTGGAAACTTCCAGGGAGAAACCTAAGACAATTCTGCTGCTGGCTTTTTTTTTTTTTTTTTTTTTCTGTCCGACCACAAGACCTTGCAGTCATGAAGATGGGTCCAGGTGAGGATGAGATTCGCTGCTATCAACACACCGCTTTGTTCAACAGGAGTGTGAGGTGCGAACCCATTAGGATTGCCATGGTTCCCGAGTTCAGCGTAGACTCTATCTCCGGGATTTAGTATCAGGAACTCTTCGGCAGTGAAAAGAGAGAAGTGTTGAGACTCGGCCTGTCCACCTCCATTCCACTCTAAGGCTCGCTGAAAGAGAGTGCACAGGCTCACAGATCAAACGGCCTTGAATTACAAGATAAAAAGACACTGTTAGTTCTTTTACTGTTTCTTAATTCTAGGCTTTGGTTTTCACTTAGGAGGACTTTTGATCTGCTCTCAGACATATCTGATTAGAGTTATGCCAGGCAGCTGGAGGCTCCACAGAACTTTCAGGATGGTGAGAGCAGCTAAACAGTGATTAAAGAATGAGCCACCAAGGCCTCCTACCTTATCAGTTTTTATCTCTGAGGGCTCTCTTACTGAAGTAACACGTGAGTGTATTTTCTGTGAATATTTCTAGATTTTGCTGTGGCTGGCTTTTTTGTTTTATTATGGACATTAACTACTTGTATAAAGCTTTGTCCCAATGCCTTATTTTATTTTTCTGCCGACTTTTTTGTATGTCTCTTCTCTACTCATTTCCTTCATGGATTTTAATCTCTGGCTTAATAAGTAAAACTGATCTATTTAGAGCATGATTAAAGTGGCATTTCCAAACAGCAAGCAAAGAATGACCAGTTTTATAAATGATGCTGGAAAATGTTGCTATCCATCTGGAAAACATAAAGTGGGATTTTTATCTCATGAAATCTATAGAAATAAATTCCAGATGGATTAAATCTCACTGTAAAATGAAAACTATAAATATCGGATGGAAATACGCAATGTGTCTCCATTGGGGGTGGGGGGGGGTGGGCAACGTTCTCCGAATCGAGTCCTGAAACTCGGAAGCAAGTGATGGCAGCTTTTTCTATATGGATGCTTCATGTTTATGAGTGGTAAAAGGTGTCGTGAACATACCAGTTGGGGAAAACTAAAAAGCTAGTGTAGTCAAGAATGAGAAGAAGGGTAGATATTGGGAAGGGAGAGACAAAGGTATATTTGTGCATAAAAGGTTGAACATCTAGAAATTACTGAGACCTAAGTAGCAATTTAACAGCTATCTTGAAAGTAAATAATCTTGATAGCATGTATGAGCAATCAATATGTAATAAATTTCTGAACAAATTTTTTTCTACAGTATGAATTAAGACCTCAAGATGTGTAATTTTAAACTTCAGAATTGTAAGGAAAATTTCAAATGATGTTGAGCAACGTAAATGAGTAAGTTACGAAGCAGACATATAGTGGAAGGTAATAAGAGACACTTAAAGTTTAAAAGTGCCAAGTTCTCCTAAATTCATCTTTAGATTGATCTGAAATCATCTCCATCATGTTATTAAAAAAATCCTTTTTGCATGTGTGCCTGTGTTTGTTATCCATGCATGTATGTGTGTTAATTTGTGAGCATGTGTGAAAGCCTTCAGAGATGTCAGTTGCTTTCCACACTTTATTGACTAAGGCAGGAGGCTCTCTTCATGAATCCAGGGCTCACTAACCCAGTCAGTCTAGTCAGCCAGCTTGCCTGTCTCTGCCTCCCAGCACTGGGATTATCTGTGTCTTCCCATGTAGCAAAGCATGTACGTGAATCCTGGGGATTTGAATTCTCTTCTCCATGCTTACAGGGCACTGCCTTACCCAATGGACAATGACCCAGTTCCAAGTCTTTAATTTCTACTCATTATTATTGATTCTAACAACAGGTTTTATGTTCTAGTGACTACTTTTGATTCTAAAATATTTTATAATGAAATAAGCACAAAAGAATAGCTGG